CTCCACATAATACACCCATCTTGCCAGTAAAGAAACCTGATGGGTCTTACCGATTGGTACAAGATCTAAGAGAAGTGAATAAACGGACAATTACCGGGTTCCCAGTGGTTGCTAACCCCTATATCTTGTTAAATATAAGTGTAATTGATTTAAAAAACAGTTTTTGGGCTTGTCCTTTTAAAGAGGAAAGCCGAGATTATTTTGTCTTTGAATGGGAAGACCCTGATTCATATAGAAACAGCAGCTTAGTTGAACTGTTCTACCTCAGGGATTCACAGAATCCCCTAATCTATTTCTACCTCAAGGATTTACAGATCCCCTGAACTATTTGGGCAGCTTTGGAGCAATTGTTAGAATCTTTTGAACCTCGTCAGGGCACAGTCCTAATTCAATATGTAGATGATTTGTTAGTTACTGAGGAGAGGTCAGAAGCTGTCAGAGATAAAAGCATTAGACTTTTGAATTTCCTAAGTTTGAAAAGCCTGAAAGTATCCAAGTCTAAGCTGCAATTTACGGAGGAGGAAGTTAAGTATTTAGGACACTGGTTAAGTAGAGGACACAAGAGATTAGACCCCGATCGAGTAAATGGAATTTTGTCATTACCCATGCCCAAAACTAAAAGACAAATTAGACAACTCTTGGGCTTATTCGGGTACTGCTGACAATGGATTGAAAATTATAGTAGTAAAGTTAAATTCTTAAATGAAAAATTGACAAGAGATGAGTTAATAAAGTAGAATGAAAATGACGAGAGATAATTAGAAAAATTAAAAGATCTGGTGAATACTCCTGTGCTAAGTTTACCAGAAAATTGGAAGCCCTTTTATCTATTTGTAAATACTGAGAATGGCACAGCTTATAGAGTTTTGACTCAGACCTGGGCTAGACAGAGAAAACCAGTCGGATATTATTCTAAATTATTAGATTCTGTAAGTAAAGGATGACCAATTTGTCTGCAAATTATAATAGCTACTGCTTTGTTAGTTAAGGAAGCTATAAAAGTGACTTTTAGAAGAGAACTAAAAGTTTTCACCCCTCATAACATAAGGGGAGTGCTGCAGCAGAAAGCCGAGAAGTGGCTGACAGATAGTCGGCTGTTAAAATATGAAAGTATTTTATTACACTCACCCAGGCTGAGGTTAGAGGTGGCGAGCTTGCAGAATCCAGCCCGTTTCTTGTGAAGGGGGCCGGGGGAGATCTAGTGCTCGATTGTCTCTGAGTAGTAGATTTTCAGATGAGGATTAGGGAGTTTAGAGAGAGAGAGAGAGAGGAGCTAAATGGAAATGAGAAGTTGTACGTGGACGGTTCATCCGGAGTGGTTAGTAGAGGTCGAGAGTCAAGATATGCAGTGAGAGACTTTTCAAGTCAGAGAGTCCGGACCCTTGGACAGGGCGTGGTCAGCTCAAAGCTTGTAAATTATATGCACCATTGAGAGCATTACAGTTATTAGACAGAAAAACAGGCACTGTATTTATAGGTTCTAAATATGCATTTGGGTGGTTCATACGTTTAGCAAAATATGAGAAAAAGAAGACTGATTAATATATCAGGTAAGAAACTTATTCGTGAGAACTCTGAGAAAACCAAAGTAGATTGCAGTTGTGTACTATAAATTTGTATTCATTTATTTCTAGTCTGAGAATTACAGACCACCTTCATTGCAGCTCCATGAACCCTTCACAAATTCCCCCTCTGGAACCAGCTGCAGAACACAGACGCCGGACACGCCTAAATAATCTAATGACTATGTGGAGAACAGTGCTGCAGAAAAAAGGGATTCATCTTGAAGGAGGAGTTATAGATATGAGAGGTTTTCAAAAAGAGTTAATGAGAGCTTGTCACACTCATGGTTGCTCATGTTACCCTTGGATTTGTGTAAAGTGTCAAAATTGTAACAGGAAAACTTGGAGGGTAGTGAGAGAAAAAGTAGTAAGAGAAGGATATTTTAACATACTATGTTTAGTTTGTATCTCTCGAGCTCATCAATTATGGACAGGAGGAGGGCGTTGGGCCTCTGACTTTCTAAACACTCCTATTCATAATAGAGAAATATGTCAAGTTGTAGAGTGTATTGAAAACTTAGAAATCAGAGCCTGTGTATTCTTTCTTTATAAGGTTGTAGGCCAAGCTATAAAATCTCAATTGGGCCAACAAAACATTATCATTATATCCGAATGTGGACAACACATTGCAGTCCCACATTCCCACATTGTGACTGACAAACGGTGGGAACAAACCAAATCATATTGGGCACAATGCAGACGAACGTCAAAAAGACAATGTTTGGGTTAGTTAAGATAATGTTAAGAATAAATAACAATCAGTTAACACAGAAGCATGTATCCCTAAAAGACAGTTAAGATATATCTGTAAAAATATCATGATAGAAACAGAAAACTTATGCTTAGATATGCATATGTATCTTTAAAATGCTTCCTCACAGTAAAACACAATCTCAAGTATTTTATGTAGGTAATAGATGTGCACGTGTAAGAACTGTTTGTAGTGACATCACCATAGATAATTGTTTGCATATGTAGGAAATTCAAATAGAAAAAGATATTTAGAGTTGCAAGGAGTGCTTGACGAGTTTAATAATCATAAGATCTCTTCCTAAGTGTAAATAAGTACAATTCACTGATATACTGAAGGCTGCTCAATTAAATGATATTGATAGAAGTTTAGCTCGATTAGACTTAGAAGCACGAGTTCAAAGACAAGAATTGCTTGATATAATAAAATACCACATAAGTAAACTTATAAAGGAATTGGAGGAGAAAAGTAACAGGTTAGGATATGACCCTTTAGTAGTAGAAGAATTCCTCAGGTGGGCCCCGATCTGGGAACACGATCAGTGAGAAGGCTGATATATTACTGATGCCTGATTGATAAAGTTTGTTCCCATAGTTACCTTCTACCAGTTGAGCACTATTTCTCCTAACTTGTACACTAACACACAGAACCCTTTCCCTTACCCCCAGTCGGATTAAGCCTAGCAAGCAAATAGCATTTTGAATTCCAATCAGTGGTGAAGAAAAAGAATTAAAAACTACATACACACTCCTGAAGAATATCTCTGCTGCCAAGAAGAAGTGATAACCCCGTTGCCCCCAGCAAAGGAGTAGACGAAGGGAAGGCAGAGAGGTACTATGGTGGAGTTATTTGCCTATAGCTGATACCACTGATGTTAGAGGATTAAATTACTAATTACTAGAATGGCCAAATTCCTTGTCCTTGTCATGATTTATAACGCTACTAGCCGCATTAACCTTTTGCCCATGCATTCTTAATAAAGTAACAAAATTCGTCAGAGACAGGATTGAAAACATACAGCTCATGACTATAAGATCAAATTATGAAAACATGAGTGACAATGCAAAAAAGGAAGAGCAGGCTGATTATGAAAATATGAGCTGTGGCATAAAAGGAGAACAGTTTTCTCTGTTGAGAGCAGCTAAAGAAGCTGTAGAAAAATTTGATGAGCAAATTTATGAATAAATAAAAAAAGGGGGGAAATTGTAATAGATTAGTAGTAGTAAAGTAATTTACTCATCAAATTAGAAGTAGTAATAGTTGTAGTAATTTACTCTTTTAATAGTATTGCATGTTATGTTCATATATATATTTTTGTAATCAAGGTTCTGTTAAGGCCGGTGGATTGTAAATTACAGAATGGGCAATTAATCTGTCAGTACTATAAACTGATAGTCCTGCAGCTGCAGTTTCTAAGCTGACAAAACAAGTTGTTATATCTTACTGAATAAGTCTTTTGTATATTGTCTAAAAGTGTACGCCTAAAGTAACGAAGGGAAGGACAAGGATCAAAGGGTCAAGAACGAAGATGATAAAAGCATCCAAGATGGACATCTGGAAGAGACTCACACAGTAGGCCTCAAGGACTAAAAATTACCTAAGACTATGGATTGGAAAGTACCTGGCAACTAAAAGCGAGCTTGCAAAAGAACCAACCAGAACCAGACTTACGAACTCGGATCCAATAGAAGGATAACAAGTGACTATGGGAAGGGAATTGACAATAGTATAAAATATACTGCTTTTGTCCACTACTTTGCTGGCCGTGTGTGGAGCAAGGGGTCTCCCTGGCAGCCCAGCGCGCTGATTTGCTTATTTGCAATTTATATAAATCTTTAATAAATTTTTGCTGCTATATTTTAACCTAAGTCTCAGTTTACTTATAACACAGGCAACTAGCATCAGGATGAAAGGACATAGTCATAAACTGTGCCAGGGGAGGTTTAGCTTGGGAATTAGGAGGAATTTCTTCACATAAAGGTTGATTAGACATTGAAATGGACTGCCCAGGGAGGTGATGGAATAACTGTCCCTGGAAGTGTTTAAGGAAAGACTGTATGTGGCTCTCAGTGGTCGAAGTGACATGGTGGTGTTTGGTCATAGGTTGGACTGATCTCAGAAGTCTTTTCCAAAGTAATTGATTCTGTGCTTATGATTCTGTGTGGAGCTTTCTGGCTCTATTTTCACTTGTGATTCCAGAGCAAACAAGGAGACGGAGCAGCTCCCGAGGACACCCCGAAGCCCCAGCAGCCAGGACAGGCCGGCAGCAGCACACTCGGGTGGCCCCGCTGCCACCACCAAGATGGCGGCGCGGCGCGGCCGCCGCCCCGCCCCGCGGCTCCTGCCCTCCCTGGGCCGGCCGCGGCCGCCGGGGGCCGCCGCCGCTGTCGCCGTGTGATGAGAGCATCAGCCCTCACTGCCACGTCTCCCGGGCAGCAGGCACTGTGCAGGGCCGCGCCGGGGCGCCGAGGCCGAGCCCGCCCGCCTCCTCTTCTCGTCCTCTCCCTTCCCTTGCTCCTGCTCCTGCTCCTGCCCCTGCCCCGCCGCGGGGCAGCGGCGAGGTGGGTCTGCCCGGCGGGAGGAGGGGCGCTCCGCGGGGCTCCCACCGCCGCAGCCGCAGCCTCATCCCCCCGGGGCGGTCCGGGGGCTACGGGGGCCGGGGCTCGCCGCCGGGCCGCTGCCGCCGTCGGGGACTCCGCTGCCGGCTGATGTCCGAGCCGCGCCGCCGCCCGCGCTTGGATGTGTGAGTACAGGCTCCGCCGCTCCCTCAGGGCAGCCCCGCTCCGGGACAGCCCCGGCGACACAGCCGGGCGGCGGGCTGGGACCGCCGGAGCCCCCGCAGGCTGCGGTGCTGCCCGCCCGAAACTTCGTGTGTGTGTGTGTGTGTGTGTGTGTACGTGTGTGTGTGTGTGGTGAGGCTTCTGCCGGCTTTGTTCCGTCCCGCTGGTACGTTACGGCACTTGGTGCCGGGCTTCTCTTTTCAGACGTTTCCTACTGTCCCAGGGTTAAAGCAGGAGGTCCCCGCACGCTGCGGAGAGCCGGGTGCTCCGTGGTAGGAGGGTTGGGGATTAAACGCGAGAAAGTTAGTCTGGGGTCACGGGTAGGTGTGCTTTTAAAGCGCTGTTTCTACGTAATCAGTCCTGCAAAGGAGGGAGGCAAGGGCACTGTTCTGTGCAAAATGAGAGCTGAGGCAATCCTCTGTAAGTCCAGGCAAATTCAACCCACCTTAAGGTACCGTTTCCAGAATGCATGTGGATGCACATTTCTATCCCTGTTCTTTTTTTGTACCACTCAGGAAACAGTGTATCAATCATCCTCCGTTTTGTAGGGTAGCAGTTGGTCCGATGATTTTCCTTTTTACATGAGGCAGTTCTTTTGCTACTCCAGCTTATTTTAACATATGAATGTATAGCAGAAACAGAGGCAGCTTTGTTTGCAATCTGTGATTGCTCTCATGCATGCTTTTTATTGTGAATAAGGGGCCCCTACTGTCACTGGTATCTGTTAAAACTGTAAGGGAAGAAATGAGATGTCTGTGTTACAAAGTGGTGAGTTATGAAGTTTTTGGAGACAAGGCATCCCTTCTATAACAATCTCTTCTGTCTGTTAACTCACTGTGACCAGAAGAGATTTTCTGGGAGAGGGTTACAGTAGTACAGGGATGGGACTGGAATGGCTCAGCTCTGGTCTTACAGAAATCATCATCCCTTTAACCCACAGTCTGCTCCTTTGCTGACCTCCCTGCATTCCGGTTGGAGTGTTTCTGATATCTCCTTCCAGCTGCTCCTGTTGGAGTGCAGGCTGCTTTAGCCAAGGTGCTTGGCATTGCAGTCAGATGATACTCTGCTGGTAAAATCTGAGCCCACAGATGCCAAAGTGGTAGCCAGGCAATGCTGACCGCTCCGGGAGTTGGGCTGAAACTTCACCTGCTCCTTGTTGTCCCTCACCTGAGTGAAAGTTCTTTAGGTGCAGATGCAGCTACTCCTTGTTTCTGTTCTTGAACATCTTTGACTTGGGTTTTGCAGTACAAACCAGGATGTCAGGAGGGAATGTCGTCCAGGTCTGATTTATATGGAAGAACAGAGAAGCTCAGGTAATATCATTGACACTGTACCCAGTGTGATGTGTACTCCTGATTTCAAGACCATAAAACACCTCCATGTCTCCTGTACATCTCATTGCTGGCTGTCTCTTTGCAGACATGGTAACTTGCAAGCATTTGAGACCTGATTTTCAGAAGCTCTGGATATCCACACACCTACTGACAGAGGTGTCTATATTGCCTCAACCTGAGCATTCAAAAATATTATTAATATAGAAAACACAGGTCTTTTATTTTAGCAGGCCTTTTATTTTTATTTTTTACTTTTATTTTTTTACAATCTCTCTGGCTGTAAAATGGGGCTAAAACATTTTGCTTTCTACTTTTGCAGGATATATTTCTATTCTGCTTGTAAGATAAATTCTTTTAAAAACTTCTTGGAATGTACAGGTTAGCACCTTGCTGAATTATTTTCCTTACAGGGATGCAGTAGCTAAGGAAATAAAGCTATTCTCGTCTTAGCAGCCTACCTATATTAGCAATGTTTGTGCTGATGTAACATTGCCAGTATAGATATACTTTTATGTATTGCTCAAAAGCAGACAGGCCTAATCATTTTTTTTTGTCTGTGTGTTCTTCAGCCACTACTTTTTGTTCTGAAATTTTAGAGAAAGAATCAAATTGTATATAGTATTTGAAGGGGAAACCCCACACCTTTTTGCTAGTTTTGAAGCTGAGCAGTGCTGAACACAAATCCTGCTCTGAAAGGGTCTGTAATGCAAATTGATCTGGGCAACTCAAGCCGGGATATCATAAAACTAACACTTCTTTTCCTTCTGGGGGCATCAAATCTGAACGTTTGAAAATACAGCAAAAGCATATGTGCTAGAAATGTTTGTTAAGATGGCTTCCAGTTTCCATGAGCATTCAGTTCAGAAGCCAGTTGGGCCACTCAGTACTATTCCATAGAGTTACAGCTCCTAAAGATGGATATGATGGAAAGCAACAAGACAATACTGATTCTGAGACCATCCTACTTCTCAGTCTCAATGATTTCCCTGTGCCTCAGAATCATGAAATCCTGGAATAATTTTCTTTTGGCAGTTACAATCATGTGGTTCAGTTTTAGTTTACCATTGTGAAATTCTTGAGTTGGAGGGTTTGGGTTCATACTCTGGATTTAAAGAAAATACAGTTTGTCAATACACAGATGTATGTGGTCTTTAGCATTAGTGAAAATAAGTTAGAGATTTGGCTGAATTTGTTTGCTGTTAGAACATTTGGTCTTAAAAATATTTTCCATTTCTGACAATTCTTTTGTTTTTCCATTGTGAAAAGTTATGTCCTAGCATGTTTATGGACTGAGACATACAGAGAAGGATTGAATTTGGCTTGCAGAACCTACTTAAATGCTTGGGATCTTTAGTATTACTCAATCTGTCATAGTTAACTGCGCAGTATGATACTCTGTTATGCGTAGTTTCCTTTCTGAGGCCCAGTTTTTGTTCTCCTTGCACTGCCATTCTGTTGAAGAACTAAACCAGTTTGACATTAATGCAGTGCTAGCTTATACACAAGAAGCCATAAGGAAGATACTATATTACAACAACTGACCTTCCTCTTCTTTCAGTGATCCCTTCCCTCTGCCATCTCCTGCTCTCTGACTGCAGAGTTTGGCCTGTCCTGGTAATGGATGGTGCCATGAAGTTGGTTCTCTCCTTTATTCACCTAATGACAGTAGGTCTTCTGTGTAAATCAGAACTTTAGTCCATTTATTTCTAACCCTACCACAGTTAGGTAAGTGGCATTGCTTTTAGCCAGTGGATTTTTAAAATGAGAGGTGAATCTCCAGGAGCTGTGTGACTTGGGAAAATCTCTTCATGAGCCATCATAAACTCCCCTGAAAGATTTTGTGCCTTTCTTTGTGGAGTGTGGTCATCGGAGAGTTATTTCCAACCTTTTTTTGAGTTTTTTGGGTGTTGCAAGCAGAAAACGAGACTTCTGGTGGGAAGTGGGTATTGTGCAAGCCGGTCAGGAGAGCCATGCTGTCCAACAGTGCAGCAGCACCCGTGTATGCCGGGGGGTTTGGAATGGTTGGTTTAAAGCAAAAATGTCAGTAGGCATCTGTGGCCCATAAATACAAATAAGGGAGAGAGTATGCAGATTCAGACAGGTAAATTAGTCTTGGTATAGTTAATTAATGTATCCTATTGCATTTTCCCAATCTGCTAGATTAGTTGATCTGTAAACGGTCATACAAGGTTCTGAGTGCTGCCTACCAGAGCCATGGAAATTGAGTTAAAGACTTGCTGTTTTGTGGGGAACTTCTATATTACCTGTACCTCTTGTTAAAGAGGCTAGCAGGGGAGAGTTTATGCATTCTCAAATGTGGTTTATATTTTAATGCAAAATTATGATTTATGCAAATTACAATTTATTTAGAATTCCCTGCAATAATTTTGCTTTTCCACAATGTTAGGGATATGCAAACTCTTGTTGCACCAATACTTTCTGCTGTGAATCCCAGTGCAATGATTTGGAGTAAAGCTTAAGGGAGCGGCTTTTAACTTTCTACTTCATGCCTTTCTACTTCATGCCTTCAAACTCATTGCTACAGATGGCAGATGCCTGCCTTATTTTTAGCTATTTGAGGACAAAATAGAAAAATCTTAGTGACTCCCCATGATTTGTCATCGTGGCTGATCTCCATTAAATTAAACATAGGGATTGGCGGAGAAACAAAACCAGCAGGAAAGCTGCTTCTGTTTGTTTTTAAAAAAGCTTGTCTAAAGCACTAAAATAATACTGTAAAAAATATTCACTACTACGTACAGAGACCCCCGGGAGGAGAAATACTTGCTGAACAGTTTGTCCTGTTCGGGATAAGGAAATTGAGGTCTGACAAGATTGGTAAAACAAGTTCCTTGGAAGTCAGTTGAAGAGGAGAGATTAAAAAGCAAATGAGGTCCTAGCCTGTACTCAGGCCATTAGGGTGTGTGTATGTGTTCAAGGTTGGGAGGAGAATGCATATTTTGCTGGCTTACTTGACTGAAAATGTTAAGATGGGCTCTTAAAGCAAGAGCATCTTCTATCTTTTTCTATTTTCTTTCTTCACCCCCTTCAGGAGTGACCTGTTGTTGTGCATTTGCCCTGATAACTTGGAAAAAAAGTTCAGTGGCCATACCTAAAATTCCCCTCCTTTCCCAGTTACTGTACATGGCACAGTGTAACGGAGGCTGATCTGTGGCTGTGCTTTAGCAGAGCCATGGCTGTGCGTAATGTTTGCTGAAGAGCTTTGATGCAAGATGTACTTAGGAGTGTGTGTTGATAAACTGTATTCACGGCTTTGATAGCCTTGCCTGTGTTGTGTCTCCTAAAACATTGCCCTTGTGATTTAGCATTACTTCCCAACCAGTGGCCCCTTCTAAACAGAACTTCTGTTTCTATCAGTAATATGCACAAGGAATTGGAGCTTAAAACTTTTGTCTTGTTACATACGCAGAGAACTGTGGGTCCAGCTCGGTAATTCCTGCCAGCTCTTTAGTTTGGGCATCTTAGTCTGGATGAGGCTGGACTTGCTGTCTCTTTCCCCACACGACTTAAAAGCATGGGAACTGTAGGACCAAAATAAACCATGACCCAGCTAGTCAGGCCTGCATTTCCCTTTGCTGCTGGAAAAGCTCAACTTTGCAATTCTGTCT